CAGCATAAATCAACATAAATTAGTCTGAGTGGTCAGTAGCATAATGGCTAAAAACTTTTTTTTTTGTCATCCTGCAGAAAAGGCCCAAGTTGTATAACCTTGAACAAGACATTTAATCTTATTACATATAATATGCTAAAGTGAGAAAGACAAGAAAGTCAATAATATAATGACATTAAGAAATACTACTACAGCTGTCTGGGATGCCAGTGTATTGCAGGACACACAGCTACAAATGCAGCATAGAGATGCTAATTAACTTATTGAGCAGTGGCAGGAAAGCCACACAGCACTGGGGAGAACAAGCAAAGGCGGGACAGGAATCCCCAGCTGCCCTCGGCTGCATTACCTAATATGTCACAGTCAGGATGGAAACGGGCAAATACAATTAGCTACTGCAATTACAGAAATGTTCAGTTTACAGGTGAGCAACATAAATGTTCTTGATACCTTGTCACATCTACTGGTGTACAAACAGTATCTAAAATTTGAGTGCTGTGCCAAGCATGCAGCCCTTTATAGAAAGAGGCTTTTTACAGTATTTTTCACCAAAAAAAATAACAATTATACCTTAGTTTCAGAGTTATCTGTTCTAAAAGTTAACATCATAGATTAAAAAATGTTCTGTTAATGAAAGCTTGACAGAATAAATAAGACCTACATATTACCTTCTGGCAGCTTTATAAATTTCTGCTTTAATCCGCTACCAGTAGTATCAGGCTGGGACTTTCGTTCTCTGGATCATTTTTGCTGTATCTATCAGCTTTTGAGACATTAAATTATTTGAAGGCGAATACAGGTGCAATACAACTTCAAATGTACATCCAACTGGCAATTTTCACATCTGGATTATGGTGATGGTGACTGCTGAAACCTGACCCATTGTATCACAATACTACCTCAGGATATATTTCAAATTCAGTATATAACACACCATTGTACTTCTTGTTACTTCATCAATATGTTTACATTTATATGGTTATTCAAGACAAATTTCAGTAATGATATGAGCAGAAATGCTGCTTCCCATAACCCTGACTAGGACAATCAACTGCAAGATAGATGGATGTTACAGATCCTTATTTATTATTGTACAAATGTCTGCGTTCTCAGATGCTAAAACCTTGATTAATCATAGGGAGAATTTATTTTGATTTGTGGTCCTGAATAAGCCTGACAATTATGCAGCAGATGTTCAAAGAACGCTGACAAGATGGGGTCCGAATCACCTCAAAACCTTTCAGTAAGGTCCTTGAGCACAGTATTTATTCTGAATCTTACTAACAACAAGGGTAGAAATTTTGGTGGTGCTACACATTTAATAAGCACTGTCAGGTTAATATGTAAATGCTGTCCGCACCCTAAATCTTAAATTCTCTTTGAGAATAATTCATTGTGCAGCTAAGGCCAAACTGAACATTCAATCCAAAAACGCCAAAGCTGAATAAATATTACTGCAGAAAATGTTGAAAGTTGTTAATTCAGTAATCCTACCATAATTCAATTCAATTGAATTCAATACAATTAATTTTTATATAGCGCCTTTCACAACAGTCATCCCAAGGCGCTTTGCATTGATTTGTTGTGATACATAAAACATAATTAGAGTAATACAGAACAGGAAAAAGGAAGGAAAGAACTTAAATAAAGAAAGCCAGATGACAAAGAGGAGAGGTACCAAAAACTTCAAAGTAAGGAGAAAAAAAAACTCTGGGGTCCAAGGTCAACTGGCTGCTCCCCCCCCCTGGACACACTAGCATCGCTGAGAACAGAAAAGAGTGGACTTGCTTGCTAAAAGGTAGGTATTTGCTGTGATTAAGAATCAAGACAAAATCCATCAGTGAGTCCGTTATCCACGTTGGCCAAAGTCCATCAATAACTATTTTCTCCACACTGGCCTGAATCAGATGGCACTGAAGGCTGGACCCACGATGATACAGTTCTTATGTCCCATTCGCAATGTCACCCCCTCCAAAAGTATACAGTAGTTTTAAAAGAAAATTTTCAGGTCATACTAATGTTAGTATGTATCAGCTAAACCAATAAATATCACACAAATCCTAAGGTACCTCTATGATGACAAAGCATGAGCATACCTGTATATGCATGTATTAATCTGTCTCATTGAATCTTAATACAGCAACCTCATTCACATTCATGAATTTGATATTTAAGGTTATTTAGGAGTTGCCTGTGAACAAATAAAAACATGTGAACCTATTTTTGAAGACTGCTGAAAGATCACAGAAACTTGCTGATGATGCATAAGGCAGAAACAGTACTGAAAATGATTCAGGTCACATAAAATGATATAATATATAAATATTAATAATGAATAATATTTATTAGTGCAAGTGCATACTATATCTTTAATATCATAAGTCTTGGCTTAGGGCGCTGTCTCAGTAACCAAACTCATTTACATGTTTGCTGTCTCTGTGAAATCCCACATTTCTCACAATATGTTTTAAATTTTTCAGCGCGATTAAATTTAATAATGGATCCAAAACATACTGCTCCCAGCGTGTACTGTAATATCTTTGTACATACAGGGACAAAAAGATGGTCTGTATATTACAGTCATGCGTTGCTAACAACAGGGATATGTTCCGAGAAATGTGGCGGTACTCCTTTAGTATGTACTCCATTGCCTTTCACACTCCACCACTGGGTGGCACATACATAAATGCACTCAAATGGCACTTGCATTTTGTTACATTTTCAATTTTCAAAAAAATAAAGGAGCCACTGAGAATAAACATAAAGTGGTTGAGCACACGTTAAAGTGGTACCAATGCATCGTTTGGCAATTCCGTCAATGTGCAAAAATCATAGTGTATTTACACAAACCTAGATGGTACAGCCTACTACACAGCTAGGCTATATGGTACAGCCTACTACACAGCTAGGCTATATGGTATAGCCTACTACACAGCTAGGCTATATGGTATAGCCTAATGCTTCCAGGCTACAAGCCTGTAAAACGTTACTGTACTGTTGGCAACTGTAACACAATGGTACTTGAATATCTAAAAACATCTATGCATATAAAAAGTACAGTAAAAATACTGTATATAAAACATTTTTAAATGCTCCATTATAATCTTATGGGACCACTGCCATTATATGTGGCCTGCCCTTGACCAAAATGGTATGCGGCTGCATGACTGTATATAAAAAGTTGTGGATTGGAAATGGCAAAGCAATTTCATATGCAGTGTACAGTATAGTACTGATTGTTTTGAAATTGGTAATAAATAGACTTCCAATGTTATCGGCCAGCAGCCTTATATAGAATTGAGGTTAGGGGTGCCCAAGAGTTATTCACGAATTTTCACATTTGTGGGGATCTTCTGCCCCTAACCCTCGTCAATGTTAAAGTATTACTGTACTTATATATGGCAAATGAAGAAATGTACAAAATACATAAGTTTATAGAATGTGATGTGAAATGAAGTGCAGGGAGTGGGGGAAAAAATAGCAAGGGTTCGGCAAATTTCTGAACAAGAAAAGATTGGACACCAATGCGTTTCCCAGACAACCTCATCGACCCCTCACACCCCCCCCCCCATCTAATCCTTGCTCCTCCCATACCCCAAACCTCTACGGTTTCTATACATACTGGCCAGACTAACTGGAAATGTGAAATCCAATAAATGAGTTTTCACCTGAATGAGTCCTAATCATGACATGCAACTGAAAGAGACTCCAATGGTACAAGTAGAACTAAGTAGGCACCACGTGACGTGAAATAAGCACACACACAGATCCCAATGCAACTGATAACAAATGTTACTACAACCAAGCTTCAGGTAGCTGGCAAGAAAGTCACACAAGCACAGTGGGGTGTATATAAGCACAGTGGGGTGTATATAATCTACTTAGTGTACCAGATCCCAAACGTCTAAAGACTAAATACTAGGTAACAACCAAAGAAATAAATTTTAAATTTGGAAATTACATATTAATTATAACATACTTATGCACTGACCAGGACTAGGGCAATGTGAAACAATTTAATTCCTCCACCTAAATTTCAATGGGCGGGGGGGAGGGTGAGGGGGGTTGGGGGGATGTACACCTGTATTTAATGCCATGTTTTTTCGTAATTTATAAACACATTTATAACAAAAAATACTGCTGACATATGATGAGTTGTTTA